AGCGCAACGATTTGGCGTTCCCATACGGTGTACTGAGAAGTTTCCTGAGCAGAAGAATTTAGTCACGTGGGAAGGACTGGACGCAACAACAACTCTGACGACGGCGGGCATGATTTTCGCGCAATTATCAAACCCGTATCCGACGCGGATAAGAACGCTGTGGTAAATAATGAGCAATCACCGCACCAATTAAGACCTCAAGCGGTGGCTACAGGAACTGACAATTATAATACGCATGCCGGTGACCGCTACGAACTATAAATGCCGTGCAATCTGTGCATGTATCATCCCTTATCTGCACATATCTCAGACTTGTTTATGATTACCTATGACTAAGGATTCCCGACGGAATCCGAAACGTCAGGACAGTAAAACTTTTTTCCAGTGATCGCTTCTTCTTCTAAGTGGATACAGTAAGCAAAACATTATTTTTTTAAATAAAGTAGTCCCCATTCGTTATTCTTAAAAAGAAATAACGCTGAAATTGATTTATATACGACTTAGCGGTAACGAAAAAATCTGCAGATGAAAACTGCTGGACCCACAAATTACAAGTTTTGAGTTCCGATGAAAAAAAGCACGCAGCTTCCTGAGCCATAGATTCAGAGGCGCTAATTTTCGAAGTAGGAGTGTATAGCCTTTCATGTTTTCACAACTAAGCACCAACAGCATGCATTAAAAAGTGTTCTCAAAAGCTGATGTTACCGTTATATTTTTCATCCTTTTCTAGGCTACAATGCCTTTACTGAATTTTCCCACTGTTAGGAGCTTTTACATTTTCTTCGATCAAATGCCACAGTTCATCTGAACTGAAGAGTGATAAAATATATGTGGAGTAGGGAAATGCAGCAAAATATTTAGAAATGTTCTGCGCAAATCTGCTTCACGTTTTGTGAATAAGAGTTAAATGTATCGTCACCTAGGAGCTTCTTGTAAATCACTCAACCCTCCGAAACTGGAAGTACTATCGGTAAGGCTAGCTTCATCGCATCCCTGATCCCTTGTTTACGCTGCATAAATGTCTACTTATTTCTTGTTAGTAAGCATGATTTGTGTTTAACTACTTCGGCTTAGGCTGTTTTACTTACCGCAGCCACACTAACTGTATCTGGTGCGTATTTGAAATCGCCTATGACTGCGGTAATGCATTACTCGCATAGTTAAGTGTAAGCTGCGTGTTTGACTGCTTCAAATATAGTCAAACTGAATATCCATTTCCTCGCATTGAATCCGGGCCGCCCATACAGAAGACTATGTTCTTCTTACTTACCCCCCCCTACTCCTTGCTAACTTGGTTCTATATAAACAAATTACTTTATCTCAATTCAGTCTTGTTATCCTAATATTAACGGACTTGCTTCTCTCCCTAGGTCGAGTGGGCTGGGCGCGCAAGAAGTATCTGCGCCTGGCTGAACCAATGTCCATCTTCTGGAAGCAAATGCCCTCTCTTAAAGACAGCTCGGAGGGTCAGGCAACAATTAACAAGTTTAACCACCTCTGTGAGGCTCTCGTCGGCTATGAAATACTCTCCTATCGCGCCTGGAAGAAGATCGTAAGTTGTCAACGCTGTAACTGTGGCTGTTTCACCACATAATTA